AAGAGCTTCGTCTTGCTGTAGCTGAGCCAGTAGAGCCCCTCTTTCTCGGATGCCGGCTTTGTCTTACCTGAATGCGAGCCAATTCTGAGCTTATGGGCAGAGAAGTCCCTGGCTTCATCGTCCGATGAAAAGGATTTCACTGCCAACGGAAGTAGTTTTTCAGAAACACCTAACACCTGAAGGGCAGCTGGGTGATTCTTTCTTTCGTAAGTCAATCGGGCTGGTAAAGGAATCTGAGCACCGAGACCCGAACTGATCTGCAACCACGGTGCGACAGCAGCAAAATACCTGCATCGATCTTTCTTGTGAGAAACGTTTGGCCACGAATGCATCCCTCATCCAAGACCCGACTGCCTAGAACGCAAACCTGAGCCCTCAACCCTAATACCCCCCCACGAGACACTCTGAAACCAACAACCCTGGGCCTATTATACCCACCCGATATCACAGATTGACCCGGCGACCTCCACGAAGGCGTAATGCTCGCAGATATGGCGATAGGCACACGAGGCTCGGTAGTTGTTGTAGAGCTGGCGGCACCTTCGTTCCGCCTCCGCCAAACTTTAGGGTTTAGGGTCGATCAGTCATTCAGACCCCTTTCGGTGCACAATATGATCTCGCCGGAATGTCTAGCACCTTGTTGTTTGTGGCACTTTCTCGCTTCGCTCCTAGTCGTGATAATAAGATCCTTTCAGCGTCAAGGACGAAGCCAGATATAGACTGGTTCACTGGCACGATCGCAATATCAGGATGTCTTGACGTGGGAACAGCATTCCAGCCTGCCCGAACTTTCACTGAGTTTGTGGAACTGCATGTAGCAGCACGTCAGATACCGAAATAAAAAGGATGCAAATGAAATGTAGTTTGTCAGTTTGGGGCTTAGGACTATCAGAGAGGATCTGGCTCATTCATTGAAGCGACAAACCACTAGACCCGTCTGGCAATCCTTCTCATACAACTCGCCCAGGAGACCAATGTAGACATTCATGACCACGACTGTGATCACCTGAGCGTTTCGTACACCGACGAGTAACACGTGGTCCAGAGCCAGGAATGCAAAGCAAATCCCAGTTGGTGTGTGCCTTGCCCGGCTGCCTGAAGGACTCCGAACGCATCGGACAAGTCTAGGCCAGAAAAGAGAATGCGGCAGACTGCAAGGGCAAGGGGTGGCACATCTTGGGAGACAGTGACAATAAGAAAGTTCGATTTTGACACGGTATGCCTCTTTCATACTGCACGCTTTAATCAACCTCTGCTTTGAAAGGTTGCAGGCAAAGCACAGACGCATGGCTGCTTGCTATGATAGGCAGTATACCCTTGCGCATCCAGGCCTATTTCGACTGCCGGGTACACCTGAAGAAACAACTGGGGGCCGCGCAAATCTGCAGCACTACTGCCCTAAACCCTGAAACCCTAAACCCGATGTTTCCAGCCAGCACTGACAATGAAATACCAAGTTCAAAATCAAAACTCTCTCAATTCCACTGCTTTGACCGTTGAAGTCAACCTCTCCCCCTTTGCGATGATTCCACTGTGGGCTTAATCAGACAAGGCTGCCAAGCTCAGAACCACGAACTCGTATCGGATGGTCCTGGCATCAGGCTCCGTAGATGCACACTGCCCACACCCAAAATGCAGCAAGACCTCCACTTCGAACTCTTGCAAATGTTCCCTCGGAGCCCCCGTAGACTTAAGCTCGTTGCAGCTCCTGTGGTACTTCGAGGAGTATTCTTCCTCGGGCACTTCCACCTTCCCCTTGATCTCGTCCGTGCCGACGATCTTAGCCGGGGACACACTTTCTATCGTCTTTGAGCTGCTTACTAAGGCAACCAAAAGTTGGGTCCGCAGTCTCCACCTGACCCGTTTGCTCGTATGGCTATGTTTCTTGTTTGCCACCTGAGGCTCGCTGTTTGCCACACCTGCTGTATACTTTACTTGCCGTGTTGCTGAGGTTTGGAAAGGATTTGCAAGCAAGCCTATGCAGACAAAGGTAGGAACACCAAGCGAAAAGGTTCGCCAATCTGATTTCCTTTTCTGGTCCAGGCGTGTCCCAACCCTTTTCGGAGGCAATCGCTGACAGTTCAGGCATGCAACGTAGATGTTTGTGATAGATCTGCCGCTTGCTCAGCCGATCCATTCGCCCTGTACTTCCCAACCCTAAACCCTAAACCCTCATTCAGGTCGGGCTTTGCTGAGTGCGGGACAGTTGCTTACTTGTAATTGGACCACTGCCTCTTCATTCTGATGACTAGACTAGTTCGGAAAGAACACACACAAAACAACACATTTGCATTGTAAGTGAAGGGTAACAAGTATACATATACATATGTGTATATGCATTTTGACTATGTCTGCTATAGTAATATAGCCAATCGTAGATCAACTTGTTTGCTTTACATGGGTAGATCTCTAAATTCATGTCCCTTTTAGGATACTTCTAATAAGGGTGCCGCACTATTGTGGGACCCTACAAGGGACCCTAATTTAGAGAACTACCCATGTAGCACCCTTATAGAAACCTTTATAGAAACCCTAACTTATAGAGCCGTTTGGGGCACCCCAAAAAGAGACCCAGGTCCTTTTAACCCGAAACCCTTTAGATCCCTTGACCCCCAAAAGGAGACCCAGGTCCTCTTCGTTTTGTTCCCTAAACCCCTAAAACCTTAAAATATGTAAAAAAAATCTATTAAAAAAAAAACCTTTCCGAGGAGCCTTAGCCTCGATGTGCTCGTTGATCCCCTCGAGCTCATTCCTTGGCGCCCCCGCGTTTTGGGGGGCCCGAAAGGCCCGAATAGGCAGGATACGAATTAGGGTTTAGAGGTTTAGGGCCCGAAAAGCCTGAATTCGCAGGATGCTAGTATGGCTTCTGTAAGGTTCCGCTTGTGCTTTAAAGTTTTTGTTGACAGATGCTTCGGGACTCAATATATACTCTGATAGTATACCCACTATGTAGGGACATAAAGGGGTGTGACTTTTAACAGCTCCAAACCCGCATGAAGGCCTGGATGGGCGAGGCATCGCAGGTCGCATCAGGGTTTAGCGAGGAAGGCCTGGCACGACGAGCTACTGTCATAGGGATCCTTAGGGGTTTAGGGGGGAGGGGTGTAGGGGACTATATTTCCTTAAATAGGCCTTATTAGTCCTTATTATGGGCCTTAAGGCCCCCTACCCCCCCTCCCCCTACACCCCTAAGGATCCCTGTGATACTGGCAAAAGGGCATGAATGATTTTTTTCCCTCCTACTGAGCCAGGACGAGGCCCACATTGCTGGGTAAGTGCCGGAGCATTTTCATAGTGTAGTTGCAGTCAGGAACTCGAAAAGGATATCCTTTGCTACTGGTAGCTCATTAGCAAATTTCACTTAAAGTCCCTATCTTTCACCTTCGTGGCCGGAAGCAGGCTGTGAGTCAGGTGAGGCTCAAATCGAAGTCGCCCAGCACGGCCAGGCGGAAGACCTTCCTTAGTCGCCGCTCAAGGCTCGGTTTTTCCCTCTCGCATGGCAGGAGACTAAGGCTCGGTTTAGGGTTTAGCGTACGCTAAGGCCGAAGGCTAATAGCCAGTTCTCCGATGGGGAAATTCCCTGTAAGCAAAACTTGCACCGAAACTTCATCACAAAACTCTCGAAGCCATATACCTACGTCCTGCAAACTCTAGCCATCTCCAGCCTCTAGCATTAGCTGTAGGGGTTGGATCGAACATCTGTGGCAAATCTAGCGGATCATGATGAACCGGATTATCAAGATCTATCAAGCTGAATACGGAAGAAGGAAGCTGTTCCTGTTCCCATCGGCCGCGAGATAACACATCCCGAAACTGAGGGAGCGACAGGAAAGTAGTGAGGACATGGTTTAGGTAGTCGGCATCCAGCACTCCACTTCCGCCGACGTTCTCCTCGGTTGGCTGGCGTCGTGCGGAGGCCCCTATCCGATTCGGTTTTCAAGAGCCTTGGTCGGTTAGAGGAGCAGCGGAGCCCATTTTGGGCGGATTGGCCCATCCCCAAACACAACGTGTCAGCATAGCAGCTTGGATAGGGAAGACGTAGTAGGCATGGAAAGCAGCAGTGATCATGAAGCCGAGGAAAAGCCTTGGACCATACTGTCTAGCAGCGAAAATCTCAAGGAGTCGTTGCGAGTTTCCAGCTTCTCTCCGCAATGCATGAAAACATGTCTAACCAGTGATTTTTGGGGTTCCCTTGGCTCTTTAGCTCCTTATCTAGTAGGGATTATCATCATCCCTGGCTCCTTAGCTCCCCCAATATCAATGGTTAGATGTGGCATTCTGCCCTTGCAGCAGGAAGCAGGAAAAATATGGAGGCGGGCTGGCAAACCGCGAGCACAACCGGGACCATGTTGCTGCCCACCTCTCACCGACCGACAACACGGGCTCACGCAACGATTGTGACGAGGGTCATAGATCATGCTCTGCAGGTGGGCATCAAGTTCATGCGAGCATGTGCCTGTGTTACAAGCAGGACGGCTTTCTTGTGTACATGTCATGCACATGTTTCTTTAGCCTTTGGCACTCTGGACCAACGTGGCTGAAGGGTTTTTTGGCAGCCTGCTCGATCTGCAGGAAATTCGTGGAAAGAATTGTCCAGCGAATGAGGACGAGGCTGGAAAGTGCGGAAGGATCATTTTCCTCAGCTGGCGTCTTAGTTTGGCCGTACTCCGACAGTTGTACTGTTGCCGTGCAGGATGTCTCGGGGATGAGTTTCATATAGTTTCATCTTATCGAACTCAGACTGGCGAACTAGAACAGATATGGCACGAAGAAGTCCCAGTACTGTTGTGGATCGGTGGAGACGTCCAAGTGCCACCAGAATCTGACGAACCTCATCGTGACATAGACAGAATATATCTCAGAGCAAACCACCAGGCCGTTCCAGGTGGTCGCATGCTTCACCTAGTTCATGGTTGGGATGGGATTATATAAACAGGGGTTGAAGTACCCATAAACATGTGCAATGTTGGTTGGGATAGGATCATATAAAAAGGGGTTTAAGTGCCCATTAAAACAAAAGTAATGTTACCCAACTATTGTAAAGTCACGAGGGCAGCTCTGAGGTCGAAATACCGCCAGAAGCCGCCTGCATCCGCCTTGGTGATGAGGATGCTCTCAACGAAGAGTTTGGCAAAGAAGTTGAAGGCCACCAAGATTGCCAGTCCAATAAAAGCCATGATGACCCAGGTGTCGCAAGTCCGCCCCTGCCGGCGAGCATGGCCCATGAACATCAGCATCACAACATAAGATATGTCTTTGAAAGCATGCAGTCTTCTGACGTACCAAGTCCTGTCGCTTGCCAGCTCCAACACAGCTCTCCCCACGGGTGTGACGAAGCTATAGCTAAAGGGTCCCGTGTCGACTAGCGCCTTCAAGATCAATCCCAAATCATTGTTGGAAATGTCATCGTCCAGAAGCCGAACTGTGGGAGTAATGCAGAATGTCGTTTTGCTGGAAAGTGTCTGGCCGCTGATCCAACAATCCCGCTCTTCAAACTCCAGGAGTTGCTTGGTTTTCTCCTGCAGTCCCTGCATTGGTGTCCGATAGATGTCTGCATGCCCATGCCCGATGATGTGGAATCCTCTGGTCGACCCACGCTTCCACTGCCACATCGCGGCGTCCGTAGCCCAGTCTGTCATGCGATCGCCTTCTCATGCCGGGCAGCTGCTTTAAAAAGGCTCACGCTCACACCCGGAAGTGTTCAAAGTTTCGCGCGTCTTGCAATTATCGTGTCCTTCGTATTGCATTCATGTTTACGAGATTTCAGACTTTACGCTCTCGCAACTCGGACATGCCACACGAGGTCTCTTGGTTCGCATTGACTTCAGGACCGGTTCACTCGAGTCACTTGCACACCACAAACAGAAGGCAAGGCCACAAAGTACACCAACTCGAGATCCTCCAGACTTTCTTTAGGCTTTCGGTTTGAGCAAACAAATGAGCAGAAGCAACGTGCAAAAGCCGTCACAAATCCCAGCGCCGCACAGCATAGCTGCTTTGCAAAATTTTGGCTGAATGTTACTCCCCTTCTGCAGGCATTGCTGTCATAACTGTTAACGCATCCTCTCGTGTTGCGGAAACAAGCTACTAGCGGAACGGCATGTGCATGTCCGAAACACCGCCGCTAAAACTCTCAGAAGCCAGGGTCCTTTGCCGTCAGGACCGTCTTTCAACGCCCAGAAAGCGCTCAGATATGGCAGCTCCAAGCTAAGGCCATGGATAAAGGACAGCCTCACTGCGCTGGCGCCGTGACTAACCAAACAAAGCACGAGCAGGGCAGAAAAATGATGTTGCACTTCCCTTTATTCAAGCTTGCCGGGATGGTTCAATTTGGGCGACGCCGTGTAGTGTGATGTTTGTTAGGCCGGGAGTGCTTTCGTCTCTGCATCTGAGGCCAATTTTTGCTTGCTGTTGCTCTGCTGTAGGTGACCACCTGACTCTTCTCAGGGCGGCAAGCTGGACCGATGGGCTTAGCATTCTTCTTCTCCGGCTGCTTCGATGCCGCTACTTCGGCTGCTAGTGCTGCTACCGCTGGTGCTACGTACTTCTAAGATTCTACCTCGAGGCGGACGACGATGGCGACTACGACTACGACGACTGCTGCCACTACTACCACTACCACAGCCACAGCCACTAAGGGTCTCGGCTGGAGCGAAGCTTGCAGTTAGGCAGGTTCACAACATGGTCGCTTGGGCTGTCTGGTGTGCCTTGATTATTACTCTGCAAGTGCTGCTTGTTATGGAAGACGAAAGCCAGCTGTGCCGGTCCCAAATCCGGCAGCCGCCACACGAGATGCATATCACTCAGGATTTACACGTGGCGGTAGACCCGAGGGTTGAGTCCCACACCACACTGGGCTCAGGAGTGCCTTCAGCTTCTGGAGGCACGAAATTTCCTGGAGGGACTGTTAACAATCCCAAGACGCATACACCAGCAAGGAAAAGAGCTTATCGCCGAGCCAGAAGGCGAGCCGAAACTCTTGGAGGAACACATTATAAGGGACGTTGGCGAACTGCGGAGGAACTTGGTACGATGGCTGCTCCTGAAGCACCGCTCAGGGGAACATGCAGGCCGACTCGAGGGCTCCTACCATGGGTCTCTCAGCCGAGAATCGCTGTACGCAGTTACAACGCTGGAGGCCTTACGGCCGAAAGCTACGACCGACTGTGCCACTGGCTCACCACTGAATGCCGAGAGGACCTGGTTCTCCTGCAAGAGATCCACTGGGGTTGTGGACGTGAGGATGGCACCTGGACCATACCGGGATGGACGTTTTATGTTTCGGCAGATGCAGGCCAACGTTTCAGTGGAGTGGGCGTTATATTGTCTGACCGACTGGCGACCGCGCGCTCAACCACCACCTGCACCTGGATACCAGGCCGACTCTTGCAGGTTAGGTGCCACACAGCTCGCACCACGCTTGACATCATCGCTGGCTATCAGTGGACTCACCAAAGCGACTCGCGTATCCTGGAGAAACGCAGCTTTTTCTGGGGCCAGCTGAGCCGATTGCTTCACACCATACCAGCGCGAAACATGGTGGTGCTGGGAGCTGATCTCAACACGCGATGCGCTCACATACCTGGACACGTAGGCCGAGGAGTGCTTAAGAGTGATCACGGCAGGGATGAGGAACTTGATGCTTTGCTTGTTGAGCATAATCTTGTTCTGCTGAACACGTGGTGTAGTGCGCGCGCAGCTTGTAGCCACACCTTTGTGCATGGGGAGGTGCGCAGTCAGATTGACTACATTGCTTTGCGCCGACCGGCGGCAGATGCGCTAGCCAAGCGCACGGTGCCGCATGTGTTCGACCTTGCACCCTGGAGGCGAGGCCCTAAGCATCACGCGCTTATCGCCACAATCCCCTGGCGTGCAGGCTGGACATACGCGAAAAAGCAGCCTGTGAGCCAGCGTTTTGCAGTGCGCGAACTGCGCCTGTCAGTGCGGTGCATGGATGACCGTGCACAGCTGCTTCAAACGGCCGTTCGCGATATTCTTACTAATGCCAGGGAGCATGACACCATGTCGACTGTCAACAGACTGATCATCAAGCAGTGCCAAACACTTTATCCCATCACCCGTAATACCCCCAAAGCCCTTAAGCCTTTCCAACAACCAGCTGTTAGGACCGCGTTGGAAGCCGTCAGCCATACACATGCTGCACTCAAGGAGGTAGGCCGGGCACGGGGCATACGCGAGGCCGTGACAGCCGTGCGTAGGGCAGAGGCCTTCAAGCAAGCCAGCCGTCAGTTGCGAGTCGCTAGCAGGGCAGCTCGTCGGGAATGGTTCGAGCATAGGATCGCCGAGGCTGAAGAAGCTGCTAAAAGGCATGACATTAGTGCGGTGTATAGGGTTGTTAATCTTTTGGCTCCTAGGCGTAGGCGTGATCCCGTCCGAATACGAGGGGTACAAGGCGAGCTGCTCAGCCCACAAGCGGAATTCGATGCAATCTTCGATCATTTCTGCGAGGCCTTCAGCAGCGATCGAGCCTACTGCCTCCCACAGCAGACCGTTGTGCATTTTAGTGACGAAGAACTGCACACCGCCATCAAGCAACTGCGGGGGGGTAAGGCCGTTCCAGCCGAAAGTGCACCGGCGGAAATCTGGATGCTGTGTCCAGATGAGTTCGTGAAGTTCTTCTCGCCCCGCCTTAACCTCCTGCCCTCAAAGCAACCACATTACCCGCCTGAAGTAGCTGACTCCTGCCGAAACCAAACAAGCCAGGGCGACGCCCGGCAGACCTTAGGCCACTGGGGTTACAGGACCCCGGATCCAAGGTTGCAGCTAATGCAATCCGAGCTAGACTGCAAGAACTCACTCTGGGGTTTCTGCAACAACGTCCACAATATGCATACTGCCCGGATAGAGCCATAGATCAAGCCATAGCCAGAGTTTGCAGCCACTGTCGTCGAGTGCGTGAGCGCGTGCAATCTGGCGTGCCTACGGTGCATGGCCGTCGAGCGGGACTGCAGCCCAGTCAGTGCATAGGGGGGATCATGCTAGGCATTGATCTTAGTCGTGCATTCGACTGCATTCCCAGGGAAGTGCTGCAGCGAGCCCTTTTGCACGCCGGTGCGTCCAGCGAGCTTGTGCAGGCAGTTATGGTACTTCATGAGCAATGTAGATATAGGGTTCAACATAAGGGTGCTAGTCAGTCGTTCCGGATGCGACGTGGGGTTAGACAGGGTTGTACCCTAAGCCCTTACCTCTTCTCCCTTTTCACCTGCCTAGTCTACGATGTTCTTGCAGAGCGCACCAGCGTCGCCTGGGCACAAGCCGCGGCCACCTTGTTTGCAGATGACACCCATCTAGCATGGGACGTGCACAGCCCGACCGACCTGCGCTTCTTCATGCATTGCGCCAGGGTGACGTTTCAGGTCTTTGCAGAGTTTGGCATGACTGTCAACCCCGAGAAATCACAGTTGGTCATTAAGTTGCGTGGTAGCGCGGCGGCCAGGTGGATGCGTAGCAACCGTAGAGTCGGCGTGAACGGTCCAGTCCTGAATGTGGGCCTCCCGCATGCTCCACTGCTTATACCAATTGTCCCTCATATGAAGTATCTCGGTATCATTGCCTCGTATGGTAACTACGAACTGCAGACTTGTCTTCATAGGCAGCAGGCGGCCATGGGCAATCGCCATCGACTCGCACGTATCCTGCAGCATCGACAGCTTACCCTCAAGCAAAGGACTAGGCTTTACATTGCGTGTGTAAGAAGCAGCTTGCTGTATGGGCAACACGCCACAGGGCACAATCATGCCGTCTTACGCAGACATGAGCAGTTTGATGCGCGAGTACTGCGGGCTATAGCGCGCGCTCCGGCGCACCTGTACAAAGAAAGTACGTCCGACCTTCGTGCGAGACTGGGTGTTGACTCGCCGAGCAAAGTCTTGCTCCAAACACTTGACAGACGTGTACATCGGGTCACCTGCGAGGAGAGCCGACAATGGTTCCAGAAACTCCAGTCCGAGCTCGTAGGTCTGCTTGCCCAGCCTGCCACACAGGACGAAGACACAGGGAATCCGTTCACCCCAGAACCCCAGATAGGTATTGCATGCCCTGATTGTGGTCAATACTTTAGTACTGTGCAAATCATGCGCACACATCAGGCCAAGAAGCACAGCTATCAGTGTCAAAACGTCCGAAAACAGGCTGGGGTCTTGGATGCCTGCTCTTACACGGCAGGGGCTGTAGGAGGCATGCCACAATGTGCTAGCTGCGGTCGCAAGTTCACTCGTGTTGAAGGGCTGAAGAAGCATCTTAAATCAGGTTGTGTTAGTCAGTACTTACAGAGGACTGCTGAACCGGGGACCGCCACCGCTGGCACGGACCAGGTACCCGTGCCGCGGGCAGAGTCGCCAAGGGGCCGGACTCTGCAGGTGGCTTCCCAGTCGAGTGAGCCTGTGTTTCTGCGACCAATCACTGCAGCCAGCACTGGTCTGCTGTCGGACCCTGAGCACTGCAGACAACTCAAGGAAAACTGGCGGGATGCTGTGCGCCAGCCTTGCATCAACCTTGTCCTCCGTGAGCATTGTGTCGTGTGTGGGCAGTGGGGCAATCGTTTGAAGCAGCACCTGCGGCGTATGCATCCAGAAATCTGGGCCCTCAGATCGACTGCGGAATCGCAGTGTCGTAGGCTCGGCCTTTTGCGTGCGGATCCGTGCCACTACTGCGGGTTGAGTGCCAAACAACCCGGCCGGCACCTCACGAACTGCCAAGCTGTCTTTCAAGCATCTCTTGCGCATGTGCATTTGACACAAGGTGAGCCAGACGACCATGGCGGAGGCGATGGAGACCGACGAGCAAGTGGCACAGCGACGCCGCGAGCTGGCGGAAGTCTGGGGCAACCGATCCTGGGAGAAGGATCCAGCCTCAGCCTCAGCGAAGGACAAAGATCGCAGCAAGGAGGGCGAAGAGGAGGACAAGGATGCGCCGGAGGGACAGCCACGCCAAAAGTGGCGGAGGGACGGCAACAAGGGCAAAGGTCCATCCTCAACCTCCTGGGATGCGTGGGGGCAGAACCGCGGCAAACGCCAATGGCAGGGCAGTCAGGATCACCAGCAAGCGGAAGCGGGCGGAGAGAGCGAGCAGATGCAAGATCTGGTCAAGTGCCTGGTGAAGATGTCAGTACGACACGAACAGGAGCTGGCCCGCCTGAGGCCAGACGTGGGCTTTATCGCTTTCTGCGACACGTCCGAGCTGGGCTGCATTCCGATGCTGAAGGCGGTGACCGAGAACTGGCTGGATCTTCAAAGCAAGGGCCAGCTCAAGATGGGGTTGAAAACAACCCTAGCACTCTCAATGATGAAGGACCTTCGCGAGAGAGCCGAGCTGACTCTGAAGGAGGAAGACCGCCTCCAACGATGCCTGGATGCGGGATGGCTGCTTATGCTTACCAGCGAGAATGTCTTGAACCCAGCCTGGGTGTATCACACTTGGGATGCACAAGCCAAGAAGCAAGTGGTGGCGGACACCACCCCGCTGAAGCACTCCGAGGCAATGCGCCTGGACCTCCTGATCGACAACCTGGGGAAGGAAGGAGTGCTGACCAAGTTCAGTTCAGCCAGGCAGGGGCACATGCTGGAGAAGCACGACAAGGAGGTTATCCCCATGATGATGAACCTGGGCTTGAGGGGCCAGGCGAGAGACCAGTGCCACGAGGCCATGAAGCAGCTCTCGGGATGTGCGCTGGTGAAGAGTTCGCTGGCGACCGGAGAGGATCCACAAGCCTCCACTGGCGACAGCACTGGAGGAAGCCTACCTCCGCATGCCGTTCTGCCACTGGACCCGAAGGGACCAGAACGACCAGTGGGCGGGTCGTCGGGCCTAGGGCGGTCCGCGACCTCTGGAGCGCGTCAGGTAGCGCGCTCTGCTGCCCACTCGGGGCAATAGGAGCAACGTTTGCTACATAAACGCTACCTTCCAGGCTGTGATGTGGCTGGCAGAGATCGCTGGCCGAGATTTTGGTAGACTGCAGCCAGGCCGACGAATCATGCGTGCACCCACACTTGTGCATCTCCCAGACTGCCTCCCGTTACGACATCTGTTCGAGTGCTGGCGTAATGTGCACCAGCAACATGACGCAGGGGAGTTCTTGGCTCACTGCCTGCGCTTCGCACAGGCTGAGGCATGGGATGGGGAGTGGCAGGCACGAGTGGAAAATCCAGTCAGCATCGTCGACTCAGGCACGTTGCTGCAGGCTATCCCCTTGCATCTCCCAGGCCAGAACCTGCAGGGACTCGTTGATGTATGGCACGGTCAGTATGCCAGGCATGCACTCACCATGCACAGTGGCCTGCTCTTCCTTCAAATCTGTCGCTATTCGGAAGATGCAGATAAAGATCGTAGCATGCTACGTGTTCGGCCAGGCGACTCAGTCATCCTACCGATCTTCACGGATGCTGAAAGCCTGATGGTACGGCACGAGACCTTCCAAATAGCAGCTATCATTTATCATCTTGGGGAACAACCCACTAGTGGACACTATATGGCACTTATAGGGGTTCAGCGACAGGATTCCTGGGTGTATCTAGTCTGCGATGATAACCGTGCACCTCGCAAGGCCAAAGCTTCGGATCTCCAGCAAGTAGACCACAATGCCTATTTGCTGGGTCTCATGCGCTGCCTCTAATGATGTTCCGGGCCAGCAGGGAGGGCCCACAACCACAACACTCCCTGCCGATAAGAGTTTCTAGGCTACGCCGAAGCGCGTTTCTTGCCAGCAGAAACAACTGCAAGCCTCTTCCTTTTCGTTGAGCGTCCTTTTACATGCATGTCTTTCTCCAACTTGTCCGAATTCCTGCCGGTGTACCTGCATCAGATGTGGCTTCAGATGCCCGGGTGTGGGTCTAGGTCGACCCGTAGCAGCGCGTAGGGAGCGCTGCCCATCCATCACAATCGGTCTTGGCCTGAGCTCAGCACCGTTATGCCTGTAACGTTTATGCACATGTCGACCATGCTCGCCCATCAAAGTGCCTTGTTTGCATGCAGCTGGCTCCAAACTCGCTGTTCGGTGTACCGCGGGGAGGTACACCTGGTGTGCCTAGGTCGGCACACCTGCTGACTGCAAGCATGCATGCTCAGCTGGAGCTGCCAGCGGATATTGCGTCAGTGGCTCATGAGGAGGCCATGCTACTGGAACTGTTGCGAGACCTTTTGCCTTCCACGCATGCGCTGAGACCTGCTATCACCATGGCAACACGAAATGAAATTGTGCAGGAGGCGCACCTGGTACTAGACAGAACAGCGCTTGCGAAATTCTGGCGACAGGTGGATCGCATTGAGTCCATGCTGCCTCATGACGGCATTGTGCCCTTACCACCACCGGTGGGAGGCCATCCTTTTACGGAGGCCGAGTCCATCGCGGAGGCCTTCTTGGCTGAAGGGAGTGGCTCGCTATGGTCTGCTGCCCGGGAAGTTGCCAGATCTATGTGCTTCGAGCTGGATGCCAGAGAGATTGCATCGGGTACGACCTGTCGCTTGGGCCTTTTCTGTAAGGGCGGGCTGTGCGGCTTGTCCAGAGCAACCACCCTGCATGTTGCAGCGAGCAGAATCTTCAACAGTTTGAGTCATGCCATCGCTCCTTTGCATCGGTGGACCTCACTCAGCATCAACCTCGACAACTCCACGAGACCCCACTACGATACGAACAATGCCACGGATGCTAGCTAGCTTACTGATAGGCCTCTCGCATCATGACCAAGGCCAGCTGTGGGTGCAGGACAATGCAGGGCGACACTGGATGGACCTTGATGGGGTCAAGTACAGTGGCACCTGTCACTGCACCTCTGGAAGTGCCATCCTTTTTGACAGCCGGCGTCTGCTGCATGGCACTAGGCCATGGAAGGGCAATCGGTTTGTTCTCATTGCCTACTCCGTTGGCACGCGTGCTGGCGTGAAGCAAGAGCATCTGGAGCACTTGGAAAATGCTGGCTATCTGCTCCCCGAAGACTGGGATGTCTGGAAGCCAGAAGAAATAGCGAGCAAGCAGCGAAAGCTCAGTCACTTCTTTGGTAGCTCGTCTGTGCATATGTCAACTCGAACCAGTGATGAGGTACAGGTCGGGTCTGAGCCGGAATGTGTGGGCTAATGCCAAGGTCCTTAGGGGGGGTCTCGCCACAGACTGGTGCTGTCTGAGCGGTCTAAGAACCTGCCAGCCACAGCCTTTTCCTGATGGGTGAATGGGGTTTCTTGCTGATGGGCTGGTCGTAGGCTGGACCCTGGTCCCTGCTTCCTTGGTTCCCCACTGTGCATAGTGCATTCCATTAGACCTCTGCCTGGTGACATCGGCTACCTGGGATATGCTTGAGAACCGTTAGAACTAGGGCAATGCCTGAACCATATGTGTCATGGCCTACGTCGACCCACTTAGACTTCGGCTGAGCCAGAGATCAAGGGTGCGCACCCTTGCAGGGTATGCTGGCCGCGGGGGGAAAACGGCACAACGTCTGCAGCGCAGAGTGCAGCTGTCTTACCACCTCGCTGCTCGGTTGTCTGCTTGCTTGTCTGCTCAGGTCCAGCCTATGGAACGAGCAGAGGAGGCGACAGCAGCGGCGAGAACTTCAAGAACAGCTGGACCGACTGGGCCAGTGCGGGCCACGCGTCGTGGCAGGCAGTGTGCGGTCCCGGGCTGCACACGCGAATATTTGCGTCTGCGGCATAGTCAGTGCTGCAGCTTGTGCTCAGTAGGTGGGCATACCGACCGCTGCAACAGTGCATATGCAGCGTATGAGCGCAGATGTCAGAGGGCTCATCGTCGTCAGAATCGTGGAGTCCTCACCATATGCGAGCATACTGCCTGCAGACGTGTATCCGGACTGGGACATGTGAGATGCTGCAGCCTCTGCGAAAGCAGTGCGGGTACCGAGCACACCCGGCATTGCGATAATCGCCAGCAGTTCTTGCAGGAAAACGAGGCCATGGCAGCTCAGACTCCTGCTACGTGGGCTAGCTCAAGCAGTGCAGGCGCTGACTCTTCCATGGCTGCATCAACGACCACACCAGTCTTGATTGAGATTGTGGATTCCGACTCGGATCTGCAAGCCGATGGAGCAGGGATGCCCTCTACGAATCTGGACGAGATGGATTAGCATGCTTAGTTGTTAACAGCTTTACAGGGGCACCAAAACGGTGCAGCTGCCACAGAGCAGCCGATGTTCAGCTACAGCAGCTGTTCATTGCCTTCCCTCGTCTGGCACTCGGATCTTGTGCGACGTCTGCAAGCCACAGCCACTGCCACTACCACTGCCACTACTGTTGCTGCTGCTGCTGCTGCTGCTGCTAGTAACAGCACCACCACGACGACTACCACTGCAACTAAAACTCCGACAACAACGACAAGGACAACAACAATTAATTACTCCTCCGCCTCCTGCTGCTAAATAAGCGACCATACTGGTACTAATACTCGGGAAAGCCGCTCTCCAGACCTGAGAGCAAGCCACGGAAATAGAAGGTTAAACTTTCCGATTCCTATTAAACTACAAGAACCCTTAAAGTTTAAAGGTTAGGTATTGGGGAACTAAGCACCTTAGGTCTTGTTGAGCCATCTCACCGAGGCTGCTGGGGCAGTGCATCTTGTATGGTGTCATTGCTACATGGGAGTTTCTCCAAAAATTGGGGGGTACCTTGTTTTGGGTCCCTATGATAAGGATCCTACTATTTAGGGTACTCTATTAGGGTGCCCTATTTTCGGAAAGAAGGCGATGGTCTTGAAACAGTAACTACACACGTACCGTTTAAAGGGCCCAGGAACAAGGTCTCCTGGCCTTCCTCCATGCTCAGGACGGTGACTTTTCGCACAAACTCCGTTGGCGTCAATGCATTGAGCCTGAGCTGACTGTCTGATGTCAGTAGTGCGCGGGTTCAGCTGAGGGTTCAGGGGTTTAGGGCCAGGGTTAGGTTAGGAAAGAGAGAGCGGGTGTGGTCGTTCGGCCAAGCAGCATTCTCACCCAGAGTTCATAGCATGCCCCGTCTGGAAGCAGCTTTCTTGCCCGGTCCTTACACCAAGTTCTGTCCTCGATGCAATCAGCGACCTGAGTAAATCGTTCGACTCGATGAGTGGGCTCGTTCTCATGAGCCCTCCCTCGGTCGAGGCTTGCGTCCTGTTCCGACAAGGCTTGCAATGTTTGCAGCCTTTCCAGGATCGCATGCTTCGTGTCAATGCCGACTTTGTCCCAGTCGACGTGCTTGCTGTCCTCCACGCCTGTCTCGAGGCCTTTCAGGAGATCTTCAAACTTTTCAATGTCATCCATAAGCTTATTCACAGCTTCTTTCAGTTGCCCACGGCACATTTGCACATGATACTGCTGCGCTCCAGCTTGCAAATAGCGGCATTTTCGTGTCCACGTTCTGGCTTTGATCCTCTCCTTTTCACCAGTATTTGATGCCGAAAGCAGTTCCAGCCACTCAAGTGGCTTTTCTTCGTCGGCATCACTGCAGCAAGTCTCGCTTAGCAGCCTGCGCTCCTCCGTCGGGAACGTGGAACTATAAATTAAGCTTCGTTGTTGGTGAGTGACTAGTGGCCGTAAGATTGTCAGTTGAGTTTGCCGGGTTTGCGTAGCTATCCATGAGGTACAATGAGTGTGAAGCACATCGTTCAAAGATGGACATCTCAGCTGGGCACGAAGCACAAAACCGCGATACGGATAAACCACCGTCTTCAAATCCCCTAAACCCTAAACCCCTAAACCCTAAACCGTCTACCAGCAGGAGCAACAGCAAGGCTCCTCACCATGCCCCAGCTGCATGGCATGCGAGGCCAAATGGCAAGTTCGAGCCCAAAGGCTGTAGGGATGCGTTCTTGTGACTGGTTGCTTAGTTTGTCGGAAGGATCTCTCATTGGTCTCCCTTCTCTTTTGTCTCTGTTTTCTTCCTCTACTGAACCCTACTGTCCCTCTTTCTGGTGTAGGGGCGAAAGATGGCTGATCAGTGGGCCCACGGAAGGTATGCAACCCATTCACTTCAGCAGAAACGGCTCCGACAGCACCTGCAAAGAAGTCAGTCTGTTTCGAATGATAAGAAGAGGCCCTGACACAACCTACTTGTTGCTTCGACACGTGCTGACAACTCATTCTGACCGGTACTGTACCAGTATAAGTTTACTTGGTTAGCAGTCATTCCTGCATGTAACACAGCTGGGTAGGTAGTATTTGTCAGTCTCAAGAATTTCGTCGTCGTCACCATGATGACCATCACTATTCGTGAGGATTTTTCGGCGCTCATCCGTGTTCATGCAGCGCATCCATCGAGTAACGTGGAACGCACGTGCTACTGATCGAGTTGTGCGGGCCTGTTGCATCGACAGTTGGAGAGCTGAAATGCCAGCTCTTCTACATCGTTATCAGGCTCCCTTTGTAAGACAAGTTGGGCAATTGTGGGAACGAGTTTCTGATACAAGGCCTGCCATTCACAAGCTCTCTACCTCCGTCTCTCCTGCGCGGTGTTTCCCTGCCTAAAGCGCCCACCCACTTCAAAATTGCAGCAACGTCTTTGTAGCCGAAAAGCACAGCAAGTCTGCTAGGAGGGTCAGCGTGATCAAACATCAACCTGTTCGACCTGCTCCTAACATTGCAGGCTGGGAAGCCTTCGACAAAAGTTGGAACGGGACGGGCGAAGCACAGAAAAGTGCAGAAGCTATGCAAGCGGAGCACAGCGTCACAAAGTGAGGGTCAACAAAGCTTGCTACGTCTGAGGTGCCCACCAGAATTCTTGATATGCAACTTCCCCCCCAAAGAGTGCTCCAAGACTTACACTGTGCTTGCATAGCGTCACGCCTCGATCCCAGCAGCCTAAACCCACAAAACCAAACCCCCCAAACTCCCAACACCGCTACCCCCTGGAGCCGCCCAAAACGTTGCCACCGGAAATGTTGATGTCCGTGCCCGTGATGTAGGAGGACTCCTAGAACTCTCAAAGCATGTTCCTTTTTCTGGGTTCGGGGTTGAAGCAGAGAGACCTATTGTCACAGGAAGACTATGCATAGACATGTAGGTATGCATGTAGGTATGTACGTAGATATGCACACATACGCGTGTGTGTATGTATATATATATATATATGTATATATACATATGTGTGTGTGTATTTATGTATACATGTATAGGTATAGCAATATTGTACATATGTGCCAGTGCCCATATATACATACATACATATATACATATATATATATATATATATGTAGAGAGAGAGGTGTGTATATCTACATATCCCTGCACATATGCTCTGTCATGTATATATGCACATATTTTTTTGTTTATTTATCTTATTTATATAAGATTATGTTTACGTATGTATATGTAGCTGTATATGTATATGTATATGTGTGTATATATATATATATATACACATACACACACCGAAATGTAGTTATACCCATGTGTGTACGTCTTTGTATACATATGTAGATGTCTATATGTATGTGTATACACACCTCTGTCTTGCGACTATAAGGCTCGCCGTCTCCTGTCTACGACCTTGGATTGGGAGGGATTCTCGGCTTAGCGCCTTCCTGGTTCAGGGTTTGTGGTTCGGGGCTTACTTAAGGCTTATAGGGGTTGACGACTGCTGCCAGAATCTCTTTCGGCAAGGGCTGCTAAGAAGGATCCTGCTATTCAGGGTCCATGATCGGGCCTATCTAACAGTAGAGTCTCTAGTTTTCTGAGACTCACAAGTCGGACTGGTCCTCGCTGAGCAGGAAGAGCACGGCTTGAATCCTTGGCCGCTGCACAGGGAGGTGGAACAAATGATTAACGTGGATTCCTCACCAATAAACACCTGCTTCAACACCATTCCATTCCCATTTTGGTTTTGCGAACGGATCCACTGATGCCTCAACACCAATGGTATGCAGTGTTCTGCTTGTCATCGCCGGCGGCAGCTCTCTCCGACGAGAAGTGTTTCGCCTTTCCCTGTCTTTTTCCATCTGCCCTGCTGCTGCCGCAGTTGAGGCTAAGCCAGCAACTGCCTATGGTACGACACCACAAAGCTTTTGTGCCATGCACTGCGTGATTCGCATGATAAGCTAGCTGAGTGGCCTAAGGCAGTGTGTACGTACATGTTTCTGTAATTAGATGTCTGTAGACAGGCGGTGTGTGTGTGTGTGTACCTGTGAATACAGACATAAACATATGTATTTGTACACGTTGCGTGTGTATATATATATATATATATGTACGTTTGTTATATATATATATATATATATATATATATATATATATATATGTCATAGACATCGAAATGTCGGTGCATATGCTTGTGTGCTTGCGTTCTTGCGTATGTGCATGTGCAGATAGAACAACTTGCGTACATTATGTGCCTTGCATCTGTGCATGCAGAATCATGCAATTGTATGCATGCATCATCATGTATCTACTCATGAAGCTCTCCGCACGACATGTGATGGTGATGAAGTAGAGAAGGCCCGCCCTGCTCGTGATCTATGGAAAAATCTTCAAATACCCACGAATGCTTGTCCATGAAACAGTTGCAATAAGATTCTCATGCTACCATAACCCTAAGCACCAAAACACCCTCAACTCCGAAAGCCCGACAGCACTTGTAAAATTGAAAATTTCACGGGCTCATCTTCCAGGCAAAGGACACCTCTTCCGGCCGGCCCAACCGGCGCAGCGGCACCGACTCCTCGAAGTACGGCGGAGGCTTTTTGGTGTAGCTCTTTATAGAACCCATATCTGTACTTTTGTGCCGCACACATATCTCGCGATACCCTTTTTGTGCAGCTGGGTTCTTAGCGTCAGCCAGCGATACCCGAAACCCCTAAACGTTTCTCCGAAACTGCCTTGAAGCCTAAGCACTCCCGAGGTGCCATTGAGCGATAAGCCCATCATATAGTGTTAGGACAGGTTGGACAGCGCGAATACTGGCCGCAACTTTTATACGTGAGGTTTAAGGTTTAGGATGCCCCGAGCGGGCTCCAGCATCTGTTTGGCAACCTGCCCACTGTCGTTGGAGTAGTACCGCCTTGGAAGCTCGCTCAGGTACAGAGTCGCTCGGCAGCACTCACTTTCCGTACTCCTGTACAATGAGTAGCAATTAAATCCTTGCAGCAGCAGCCCTTGAAGCACGCGTATATATAACTCTCCCAGTAAGCCTTTACCCCTAAAAGTCACCATTTGTAGGAACCCCCTGTAGTAACACCCCTTAACCCATCTTAATATGGGGGCCTTTATAATTAAAACAGGTTTTCGGGGCTCATTATGGTATAATTATAACAAGGAGCCCCCAAAATTGTATGGGCAGGTAGTCCGGCCCCTACTATAGTACCCTTGTAGTGATCTTTTTAAAGGAACCCCTTTAAAGGAAGCCTATCATAATAGCCCTCAAGCCCTCACGGCACCCTGCATGTTTTCCCCAAACTCATTGCAGCGAAGCTGCTCAGGAGCTCCAGTTGGATTTGCCTTCGCCTGAAGATCCACCTCCCAACAAAACTGTGGGAGTTTGAAGGGCTCTATAAGAACAATATAACGGTTCCTTTAAAGGGCTCTATAAGAATACGATAAGGGTTCCTTTCAAGGGCTCTATAAGAGTACTGTATTACTATAACGATGGCGTGGTTTAAGATTGCTGGGGTAGGGACTCGTTAATATGAACTCTATTACAGGAACCCGAATCCCTACTAAACCCCAATAGGCTAAAACCCCTTTTGGCCTCCTATGATATAAGGGTTCCCTTAAAGGGCCCTATAAGGGTTTGGAGTTTCCGAAAACAGTGGGACCCTATAGTGCAGTACCCTTACTAGTACCAGTACCATCCTTATAATAGCGACCCCAACATAAGGTACCCCTATAATAGCGATCCCAACATAAGGTACCCCTAACTTTCGGAAACTACCATACACTGAGGCACGGTCAGGGGTGTGTAGTTTCCTGTGTTAGGGTCTAGGGCTTAGCTACAAAATTAGCGAAGCGATGACAAGCAATATTTGACTCTCCAGCATCCACCATTATTTTCATCAACGCCAGCACCATCATCCAGCAGGCTTCGCCAACAAAATACCGCCTGCCGGTCATTTCTAGTTGGCACTTGTGCCCAAATCAAGTAGCCAGCGGTAATCACAAGACCACTTGCCACTTTGAGGAGGAAGTCGCAATGGAAAAGTCGGCACACACTTAAGCTCGAAGATGTGCAAACTCCATGACAGGAAGGTGGTAAGGACAAGGCCAGCAGCATGGATAATGCGCTGCTACACTACCACTGCCAGACAGTGCCAATGCCCCTGCTGATCTCCACCAGCTCCAGCAGCGATTACATCACCATACACAAGATAACCAGAAGCACTGGTTGCTGTCTTTGATGAACATCACAGAAGTCATCCGCACTCAACATATTTCAGTCAAAACGTTCACCGAAATACCGGCAGCCTAACGGCGCCACATGACTGGCTACTGAATCGTACCACCTACTGCCATTGTAGTTAAGGTTCTGCCAGTTGCCAACAACCGTGCTGCAAAGCCCGTGCTTCCTCTGCGTCCCTGCCTGCCGCTTCCACATAAAGCCGTCATCCGGCCCGATGAATGCCTCAGGCTCTTGAAGTTCATTTGCTCACACCTTGAAGACACGCTCATACGAATCCAGGTCTCGGATCATCCTTGCGCCTGCCCGTGGCATTGCACGTGCGTCCAAGGATGTCGGACCAACTCTTTCATTGAGCAAACTAATTCTGATGGTTCTACAGTTTAAGCAAACTGACTAAGACTAAGAAGCACCCTTAAACCCTAAACCTCTAAACTCTAAACATAATTGGAGCCAGACTCGAGTCCGATGAAATTCGGATGTGCGCACAGCAGGACAAAGGCAGAATAGCTTTGGCGGCCATCAGGGAGACAAGGAGCCAGAACAGCAACAGGAACAAACCAGCGTATCCTCGAACGAAGGGAGCCAGAATCGAGGATACGGAATAAATGGTGAAAAGTTTGTTTTTTTGAACGGCCCTTTTCCTCCTCGCAACGAGTCCGAAAGGTAAAAAGTTTAGAGTTCAGGGCAAAGTTTAGGATCCCTAACATGTATGGCTACCCCTTGCGGTACGAGAGACCGGCCTCCTGAGGGCCGCACCGGACTTACGGAGTTCACGCGGATGTTGCTGGGCGCCAGGTCCAAAGCCTGGACTTTTTACTAATACTAATATTCATACTATTACTGATACTAATATTAATACTATTGCTAATACTAATATGAATACTAATATTCATACTATTACTAATACTAATGTTAATCTATTACAATGCTAATATTAATACTATTACTACTGCTAATATTAATACTAATACTATATAAGTGTTACGCAGCCTGGGCTTTAGGGTTTACGCTCTCGCGACTCGGACAAGCCAGACGAGATTAGGGTTTCGGCGCTCACACTGGGACAATCCAGGCGAGGCATGTGGTTCGAGGTCTGTTGAGTGAAACGATCTAGAGAGGAAGATTAGGGTTAGGGTTTAAGGCTTATAGGGTCGGTTCAGGGTGTAGGGTTTAGGGTATGGTCCCCTTTAAGTAACAGGTCCCCCCCAAAAAAGTACTAAAGTATGGTACTCCAAAGCCCAGGAGCAGCAATCTTGGTCAAATGGAGAACTGCGGCCTTGCCTTGGATTTGCGGACGTAGAGGGCGCAAAGGCATTATGGGCCTTGGGATTTGATTATAGGGATTTGCGTGGGGAAGAAGATTCAGGGTTTAGGAGTTTAGGAGGTTTATGGGGCTTAGGGCTGGTAGGGGCAAAGTTTCAGGGTTTATGAGGTGAAGGTTGTATGGTGCAGGGCCTACAGATTTTACAGTGCTTCCGAGTTAACAGAGTTTGTTCGTATCTTTTTGGCCTTATGGTTTCTTCGGGCTTTGTGGGTTTAGCTACCTTTTCAGCCTCGGTTTGGGGATGCCGGTGGGGAAACTTGACCGGCGGGAGCGAATGACATTTTCGGGGCCACGGCGTAGGTTAGTGTAAGCTATGGCAGAAGCCGTCGGAGAAAAATCATCGGTTGCATGCTGGCTGTAAAGCCTAAAGCGCCTGGATCTTCGCACGTCCATTTGCAAAATATCTCAGATTCTTCGTCGGTAGTAAACCCGGCAGTAACTTCCTCATGAAGTGTTACGAAGCGAGGCCGAGCAACGGAGCAAAACTCCCGAGGCCAAGGAACTCGTAGCATAGCCAGTCATCATCGTGGGGCAGCCCAAGCCGGCACAGCTGGCTGTGTTTACGATGGCACCCGCCTTCCTGGTCTCGATGCAACGGGCAGGAAGCGGAACGTTGTGACCATGAATGCAACTTCGTATCCTCCGGATTGCGCCAGCTCCGAACAGCTTACAATGAAGGATGGTCTGCGGAGGGTGAGCGAGAGGGTCATGGTGGTGTGACTGCTATCTGCCGACTGGCCGAGCTCTAGGAGGGCACATAGGCATACAGACAAGGCGCTGTTCCACCATGACCTTAGACACGTGCTTGAGAACCGCGAACACGCCGGTCACGTTGATCTTCATGACCTGCAGGTCGCTCAAAGCCCAAGCAGCGACTCCCACTGCTTGGAGGTTCATGGGTAGTTAGAAGTGGGGTTATAGGTCCGCTAATCTGGGTTATAACACTATAATTAGCTACCTAGGTTAAAACCCGACTTATAACTACCCGTGAACCTCCAAGTGGAGACCGAGAGCTTTGGCTTTCGGGCTTTTTTCTGCGATTCTGGCACTCCTGCCTTTTCGAAGTCCTCGAAGCTGTAGGTATCCACAGGAGCAAATCTCAGTGGATGACAAAGCCAACCTACTATAGGGGCCTTAATAAAGAGAAGAGAATTTTGGGGCTCATCATTTACAACAAGGAACCCCCAAAATAGTATAGGTAATTTCTGAGGCCCCTACATTGTTCACTCAATCAAGAGAGAAAACCCTAAGCCAACGTCACGTGAAAGCGGAGTGAAGGGAAGGGCGGCCGTAGGCTGGCAGTATACTATACCAGGTTTAACACTTGATTTAATGAACAATAAAAACTAGTTAACTCGTTAATCTGAACGGACAAGCACGCACGTATGAAGAAAACTAAGCAATAGAAGTACGAATACACATACTACCAACTAGTTAAACTGAACCGAAAGAGCACTCATATAAAGAAACGAAACAAATAGCAATACTACCAAAAATACTGCAAATCGGGTAGTCTCGATCTATGCAAGCGAGGATCAGGCCCTGGTAGCCAGCATTGTTGAAAAGGCAATCAATGCAACCTCAGTCAGGTCATACGGTTTCGGCGATACCGTCTAGGGTTTAGGGCACAGATTCAAGAACTTAGATCATGCAATAAGAATAAATTGAATTAAAATGAATTTTGCATCCAGGACTTTTAATTAAGACTAGGAACCAATGCCACGTCAGTCACGTCATAGATTCAGGAACTTATATCATGTAGTAATGATAATTAGAATAAACGAATTAAGACTAGGAATCCATACAACCTCAGTCAGGTCATAGATTCAGGAACTTGTATCTCATGTAACGAGAATAATAACGGAATTAAGACCAGGAGGCACATTTCGGGCTGCTTTCGCTGGCTACCGTCTAACATTTAAAGCCCACCAAGAAATGCGCCAAGTAGCCAAACTCCGCCTTCACATCTGCAACCATCTTTTCTATCTCTGCCTCCTTGGTAACCTGATCATGATTTGAACGTCTGCCAAATGCTCCTATACGGTGAGGGCCACTTGATGTCGGGGGACTTCGCTTCAACACATGCCTAGATTGGCTTCTGCCTCTGCTTTTGTCATACCGCGTGAGCATGCAAGACCCCATCAGCTGCTTCAGATTGTCTGCCAACCAGGGCATCGTGCCGAGATGCGTCCATAACAATTGATCTGACAGGGACGCTGTAGGTCTTTTTAATGTCTTCGGCGACAGACTCGAGCTTGTCCTGCATTGCCATCCGGGAGAATGCCAAACTTACTCTGGTCTGAACACGAGAAGCTGCCACAATGGTGCAACAATGCCTGCTGCAAACAGCGGGGAGCCGAGTCTGTGTCTTGTTCGGCTGGTCTGAATGTTGGCTTTACTTACAAAGTAGCATTTCGCCTCGGATGTTCCAACAAAAATGTTACTCATCCCAGAGGTGGCAGCTGCTCCAGTGACTGGTCCTGATGTCATACCGGGGCTGATCCATGATGCAGTTAGCGGCTAGCGGTTCAGCGCTTCTTCTCGCTGTTCTTGCGGGCACTCGTCTCGTGAGTCTTAACAGGTGCGAGATACCCTACACCCCTAAACCCCAAACCCCTAACCCTCAACCCCTAAACCCCTAACCCCTGAACCCTAGACGCCAACTCTGGGAGTGTGTGCCCAAGAATCCCGTACTCGACTTCGGTCCTTGGCCAAGTCCACAAGTGCCTCATTTGCATGTCAAGGCCAGGGCATGCTATGTGCTTCTATTCCCCATCATGGTGTCAGATTCTGACAATGATAATTGTGCTGCCAACAACCTGTGGACGAGGAGATGTCGACAAAGCAACATTCTAAAACGATCCTGCTGTTGATGCCAGCTAGTCCCGAAAATCTCGAACCAGTTGGATGTAGAACGCTACGAAGTCCGGGGTCTTAGCCTGCATTACGGCATTTCTAACCATTGGAAGGTGGGCAACGGAAAATGGTCATCACGGTCATAGCAGCGATACTAGTAACAGCACCAGTAAGACCTAAAAACTCCTTTAATACTCAGTAGAGAGAATGAGTCCAGGCACGCCGAGCAAACGCAACGCTCTGAACGGGACTTTCTCGCACAGACTTGTAGATGCCCGCCTGGATGTCGGAAAGCCTTTTGCCCTAAACCCTAGACCGTAAACCTATCCAAGTCGCAAGCTTGGCACCCTCAGCTGCCGCCATTTGCGCACATACCGAGCCAAAGTTTCCAGCGGCGCCTGTGACGATCACCTCACGCTTAGGAAGAGAAAAACTTGTCCATGGTTGGGATAGGATAAAAATCTATTATTATTCCTTATTGGGTTTAAGTACCCATAAAAATGTAAAATGCCACCCAACTATGAATAAACTAAACTGGCTCACCTTGTTGGCTAAGCTCCTACGTTTCTGGACAACTTCTTACTGCCCATCCCCCTGATTCGGAAGTAAGATCCTGAGTTGCTGCCGAACCGCGACTTTGTCCTGAAATCGATTGCCGCGCGCTGGATAGGGGCTCTTACCCTCCACACGCATGCGCTTGGCTTCCATGGCTAAAGCGATCGGAGGCTTCCGGATGCAGGACCAGGGCCTCTCAATGGCCCTTTAATGGAGCCCTTACGATCCTTAATAGCGGGTATTTGAGAGTATGTTAGAAGGTAGTTGGGGGGTCGTTCAGAAAATTTAATTTGCCAAGAACTTCTGCGACTTGCACACAGGATGTATGCTTCAAGAACTGAACGTCTGACCCTACTGTTGCCCAGCACTGTCCGGCCAGTGGACCCTGGCAGTAGGCTGTGAGCTTGCTTGAGGGCTGAAAGGGCCCCTGAGTTGCATCAATCTCCTGAATCTGAAGGTACCCGCACACAGTGCTCACGAGTGGCCTAGATGCTTCAGCTCGGGAATGCGTGTGCGTGTGTGTCTGTCTGTTTGCCTGATGGCCCCTCTGTCTGTCTGTCTGTCTGTCTGTCTGTCTGTTGGGGACGTAGCAACAGCCGAAAGCATTCCCAGTCTCAGTTGCATCACTCAAAGTCTGCACACCTGCGGGTCAGATCAGCCCCGTGCCTATTTGCTGAATGGAAAATCTGTAACCCGCAAAAATGCACTGAGAACCGTAGGAAGCCCACGGGTTCCAATACGCTTGATGATATGAATCCTGCATTACCTTAAGGACCCTAAACTATGGGAATTATGGTATATTCCTTATGATGGGAAATGCAGGATTTATATGGGAGTTTCCGAAAATAGGGGACCCTAATATAGTACCCTCAACAGTAGGATCCTTATTATAAGGACCCCATATAAGGTACCCCTAATTTTCGGAAACTCCCATATCATCAGCTGGAGGACCTTTTTCTTCTCTGCCTCTGGGTTTTGCACGGCACCCGGCTTCGCCGTCTCCAGCCTTCGGGTTGTCGGGGCTGCTGCTGCGGACACTGGGAGGCTGCTTTTGGCTACGAAAATAGGGGCCTGACAAATTGGAATAGGGTTTTGCTGTATATTATACTATAGTTGTAGCACGGAACCCCGGGAATAGTATAGGTAATCAATTCATAATAAAGACCCCTATATTAGCTTTCTTGCGGATTTGCTACATCCCAGTGCTACGACAATTCGAAAGTTTATTCCTCCAGTGCCGCTCAAGATGCAGCAACAACAAGTCATCGACCGAGCTTCCAGCAATTCCAAGGCTTCGAAGTCGAAGGCAAAGCTGTTCGTATCCGCCTAGCCAATTCAGGGCAGCCACTGCAATGCAATGCGGTTTTTCCCTCCTACCTTGCAATGCGGTTTAGGGTTTAGGGTTTACGCTCTCGCAACTCGGACAAGCCAGGGTTAGGGCTTAGGAGTGCTCCACGGCGAGTCATGATCGGCGGTGTGCTTGTCGACGGTTCCACAGGAACCGCACCTGTGGACATTCACAACGAACACTTCCAGCCTCTGCCTCAGGCTTCGGGTCCTCCGGCACTTCAACCTGCCAATTATTGGTCGAACTGGCAGCACAACTCTCATGAATCACGGCTAATCATTCGTTTTCATGCTGTCAAGCGCACCGACCTGTCTTCAACCTTCCACGGAGTCCCAATGACTCTGCCCTGAAATTTTTGTGATTCATACATGAGCAACTGCGGTTTGCATTGGACATGATACGCTTCGAAAACTGCATACCGCAGAATGGCATGTAGCAGCAGCCCGGTGCGACAGCAGCCTGTGCAGCGTTTGCCTAGGTTTGCCATGCCGAATCCATGCCTTCAAGTGCGTTTCTGCATGCTTCTGCTGTGCTCCTGAAATGTCCTGACGGGTCAGGAACGAGTGCAGGAATCGGACCTCCTCCCTCCACTCTCATAACTTCAAGCGATTGTGGTAATCTCTGACATCGATTGCTGGATGCCACAGCATGCTTGCCTGCCTCCTCAATGGCAGACTCTATGGGAGCGGCTGGGATGGACAAGCGCAATCGCCGCTCGGCGTACCTGCCGCAGTGCGCCCGCACATGTTCTACTGTTCTGTTCTTTCTCCGCAATTAACATGCCGGAGATGTGCCCCGTGCTGGAGAACTTGTCCGACATGAAGAATGCAGAGCACACTTCCTAGGATCTCGTCTGCATCATAACATGGCTTGAAGAATCCCTGACAGAGCGTCCCCTTCCTAAGGCAAGCATCAGGGATAAAGTCGTGCAATGCTGGTTCTAACTCCTCTGGGTTTCTAGCCGGACTGTCCTGTTCCCAGTGGGAGTGGTGAGGGGGTGGGTTGTCAAACGTCCTGGTGTCCAGTCCAAAGGACGACATGGCACCTACTACGAGGACGAATCTACTGCCGCAACTACTGGCCAAGCGAAAGTTACGCATGAGAACTATAAACCCTCCCTGGACCCCAAATGACCTACCTGTTCAGGTTTCCGTCATATGCTTTCTTTATACAAATTCTGAAAAGGTAAGTTGTAGTACCCTTAAAGGAACCCTATTCTAATTATTTAGGCTCCTATAGTAGGTGTTGGGCACTCGCGACGGAGCTCGGCGTTTTGCTCGGCCACTCGACTGCGGTAGCTGAGCTCCTGGCAAGGCGGAGCAGCTAGGGTTTGCGAGCGTGTAGGATTTCGACGCTCGCAGGATGTAGGATTGCAGGTTTAGAGTTACAAATCGAAACTATAGCACTATCACACCACGTCACACCACTACTGGCACAAAACGGGCTCGAGACAGATCTGCCCAAGGCCATGCAGGTGACACTACATTTTCTAGCAAGCCTCCCGGTAAAGGACCAGCAATAACATAAATGAGGATGCCGCCGCACGCCTTGGTGGTATCCTGCCATGATGAACCTTTAGCAAAGCTTGCGACATGTCCCCACGACTGCTCGAGGGTCACCGGCAGTTCCTTGAAGACGGGCGTGAACATTTTTAACATACGGGGTAGCAGTGTAGCAGTCGTCAGGTGTCAGCACGGTATACTCAAGACGTGCGAGTCTATCAGCATCGATGACTTCCTGGAATGCTGAAAAATCTGCCGGCGCAACCACTCCTGATTGACTCGCGTTGGCCTTCTTCGATGATTTAAACTGAACTGCCCCCTCGCTGCCCAATTGGCATTCGATGGAGGCATGTTGAAACTCTTTTTGTGCAGTTGCGGCCTACAGACATGCTTCCGTTCTGCAATCTTGCGTACACCTTGACGGCCACAACGGTCACATAGCGGCCGGCAGGACAGCCGACGCAGGAAGACGCTCTCTCTGCAGATCCAGGTCTAGACTACATACAGCATGAAACAAGGGTTCCACGTTTTGGCTCGAACAGCCAGATGATGAATGGCCAGTCACTTACAGCACGATCTCAGCAACCGTCTGCGCGAAGACGGTGGTGTTTCCTTGGCTGTTAATTCTGAGTCTGGAACCCTGGCTTCGGCTACTAAGTCTACCGAGCTTCCTTCATTCTTTTGACGAAGACGAGCAAGTCTCGACCCAAAAGCCCTTGTCCGGAACTCACGAACCGCCGAGGGAACCCCACGGAACATGAGGATTCTTCAAGGAAATCATGTCAATAGCTTGCCACAGGCTCGGCTCCAGAACCGCGGTTCGCGCAGGATCTTCGAATCTATCCCGCAACGGCCATGAAAGAGAGAGCCGGAAATCATTTCTCGCCAGTTCGACCTACCGTTGAATAAGGCTGTCCTTCAGTAACCTGAACTCAGCTCATTCCTGGTTCCGAGCTGCTGCAGGTGCCCGTAACCTTCCCGCCCCAAGCTTTGGCAACTGCGGATGCGCGCTCCGCCTGCCGGAAAATGGAAAGATCGATGAGTCACAACTGGCTAGAGACTTCTTGGCACAGCGACAGCTCCGCCATCCGATAAATAGAAATGAGCACTGTCAGCTTGGACGGGAAGCAGGGGTCCAAAGCTATGCTGCTATGAGAGCGAGAAGAAGATCGGGTGTCCCAGGAACTGTATGACCAACTACCGAGGCTGCTCCGCGGAGGTCCTTTCCCTTAAAGGTCCAAGATCAGATCCTCCATCGTAAAGAAGCCCTAAACCCGAAAGATAGAACGCCCTCAGTTGAAGATGGAAAGAACTCCTACATCTGACCCTAAAGCCATCCTAAACACCACACTTCCCAACAGCCCCCGAGATGTCAAATTTAGCAACCTCTTCAGATCAAAACTTTGCCTGCGATGCTGGCAGCCACGTCAGGTTTGCAGTCAAGCAGTAGACCTGGGCTGCGTCCCTTGTGTTTTGGATTCGTGCTTCAGACATTCGCGGTGAGAGTTTAGGATTTCGAGTTCAAGCATGAAGATCATGAAGGATGGACACGAAGTCAAGCCTGCAGAAACCTAGCATTGTTGCTTACGGTTGGTACTGTTTTGGCGCTCGCTCTTGGTCTTGCCATTGCTGACAGCGAAACGCTCGCCAAACGCTAGCTAGGCAAACTCACATGCAGCGCAGGTGCTGGCCACTTTGCGCACTCGCCGTTCTGCTTACAAACATTCTCCGTGTCGGCAACCCTCAGATGCTTCGATTCGACGGTGTGCACGTGGCTGAAAATTGCTACTGCCACACTTTAACCAATGTAAGCGATAAGACATCGTCTGACAGGCTTGTACCAGATAGCTGCGGGGTCAATGCCTTGCCTGTGCATCAACTGCACTTCCTAGCAGCCAACCAAAGCCCAAGACATGTCAGATGCTTGAATCTGATCTTACATGTTTTGCACTCCAAGGATCTTCTCTTTGCCAAGTCCAAACCTTCGTCTGCAAGAGACCATGAACTCTCACAAACATGCCGCAAAGCATCGGTTCGGTGTCTCTCGCCGCATGCAGCAACTCTACGCCAGAGGCTTTGACGGATGCAGACTCTTAACCAGATTCAACCTTGGTTCTTCTGCTTGATGCTGATGATGAAATACCAGGCTTGACTATTACTACTCTTGTTCTTACTCATTATTGTCATTATTCGTAGTATTCCCCTTTCCTGCCAAGCAACAAGCCAAAGGACTTCTCAGATCCACCCTTCCAGTACCTCGGTTCAGAATTCCGACAGCCTGCAAAACTCGATGACCCATCATACATGGTGCAGAGCAAGCGGCGCGGTCTGAAACCTCAGACGAGGCAACTCTCATCAGGATCTCACCAGGCTAAGCACTAGCATTCCGAATTGACAAAGCACCAAGCTGCGCAGATTTCGGGCTTGCAATGCAGGGATGCTGGTAGATGTCCATCTCACGAACGCGGAGCAGGCGCAGTTGCAACGCAGACTTCTTTTCTGATTCCACGCAGAGCTGGAGTCGCAGGTCATGCAGGTACTTCTTTGGCAAGACCATACAGCTGCTTTGGGAGTGTGGCGGGTGTTGGCCATGTGCGGCAACATGCCAGATAAGCTGATGCTGCGGTGCTTCACACGCCACCTTACACTGACAGCATTCTGAGGCGAGCAAGCAAGTTCACAGCACAGACATGCCCTTGCCGCACATGTGCCTGACTACCTTCCGCAGAGTGCTCATGGAGCCTCTGGGGCAGACTTGGGTGAGGAGTCCTGGGTCCCCTGCATCCACCAATACTTTCAAAAGTCGAAGCCCGAAACCCTAATGCCCTAGATCCTAAGCCCCCATGCCCTGAACCTCTAGCAGACCCCTTATAGATCCCCTTTTAAAGGAACCCTAAGCCCCATATAGGTCCCTTTGAAGGAACCCCTAAAGGGCTCCTCGGCCCTGATACGTCCCTCCACTTCAAAAGAAGTCGGAGCGAGCTCGCGACAAGAGCGATCCACCAGCGGCCCCAACCTTCGAGCAAGCGAACTAAGAGTGTCTCACAAAACAAGTTGCTGCGTTAGGGTTAGGGTTTAGATGATCTTTTGGAGGCCCCTTTTTCGACTGATAGGTTTAGAGCTAAGGATTTGCAGTAGCTTTTCCCCTCTCGCATGCCACAAGCGAGGTTAGCTTTGGGATACTACTGCACTTCTTGACGCTCACACTCGGGCAAAGCCCGATGGGTTGAGGGGTTTAAGGAATATCCTGTAATCTGCTGGTTTAAGGTTCATTATGCACCGCATTCTGTATGAGAGGACTTGCCATTGCGTTGTATACTTTTATGATACGTTTACCAATGTTTTCTACATCATGCGCTACGTGTAGAGACATGTGGGCAGTTCTCTAAATTACGGCCCCATTCATGGTCCTCTTTATAAGGAAATTTTGGGGACCTACAAACAGAAACCAATTTACATGCACCAAAGGCTTCAGCTCAAGTCTTCGGAAAGACTCGAGGATCGTGGACAAGACTGTGTGATCTCTGGGGCTTCTCTCAGATTCCTGGGTGTTTCATGGTTTTGCCCTTTCGCATGGCTAGGGCTAGGGTAATGCCCATAACGGAGGTTTGCTTGTGGCTTTCTGGGGCTTAGGGTTGAGGGTCCAAGTACGACGGGTCTGGCAGGTAGCCGCAGCATGGAAGAATCACAATACCACACCTATAGCCCACAGTCATATAGTACGAGCGCTACCAGGCACGAATACCTAAACACTAAATCAGTAATAGCACTTCGTACCAACATTCGGAATGCATGGTTGAACCAATGCCTTGGGATGAGCCACGACAACCCACCTGGGCTGGAGTGCAGGGCACTGGGGCACTGGGTTGTCCTGGTTTGATGCAGAAAAGCCGAGAGTACTTATGAGTGATTCTCAGGGCGCACATATCGCAGGGACGATTTTGCACACGGCAAGCTTTTGGCACACGGCAAGCGTGTTAGTTCTCCAGAGTGGGGCCCAACATGCGTTCTGCAGCTGCTGTGAGTTCACATTCAAGGGATGAGATCTGTTGGAAGCAAGTTTTGCACTAATTCGGTAGGGATGAGTGGTGAGCCTGAGGAGGCTATGAAATGCCCTCGCAGTTGTTGGAGCCGTGGGGCTCATGCGCTGGCGGCTTCGCTTCCAGCTTGTCAAAAGCCTGTCCAAAAAATGCGCTGTCCAACCCCTTGCTGGCAGGCCAGTTCACTGACTCTAAATAATGTAGAAACCTGATCAAGAAACCCCGGGTCTACAACCCCAAAATAGTAGGATTCATATAAGGAACCTTAATAAAGGCCCAAGGTTTCTTAATCAGGTTCCTACATTACGAAACCCTGAGCCGCAAACCGACATGACAGGACCGGACGATCTCCACCACTTGGGAGCAGGATCGCTACACATGACAAGCATATCTTCGCATGTGAAGACTATGTCCCCATGCTGCAGCTCCTCGTGTCGTATAAGCCGGAAAGCCTATGTAGACACCATCTATAAGCCGCTTCAAGTTCGTCTTTATGCCATTTTCCCGACGTGACATCTCCCTTCCGGTAGCATATCAGATCTTACAACGATCGTCGTTAAGGCTCAACTTTAAAGCCTGAGGCCCCTGAAATCGAAGGGGCCAACGGAGGCTGCGGGTGAGAGGAGATGTCAGTTGGTGAAGGATGAACTACTTAGTTGCTGAGTTCAGTAGCCCCCAAAAGTATGCACTTTTAGTGTTATAGTGGGTAGTGCTATAGCGAGAACTGTAAAGTGCATCCACTCAGCTACTTAGAATACGGCCTT